ATTTGACTGTATGTTCTGGTGAACTATAAAGCGCCTTGAGATGACGTGTTGTGAATTGGTGCTATATAAATAAACTGAATTGAAAATAATCTAATTGAATAGTGCAAAAGGCCTTCAATGTTTATAGGAGATTGTCTAACTGATATGGAACATGGGCTTCTAATATCCAATAATAATAACTAAGCTAAAGTTTTGTTGTTCTCTCACTTGAAATTGACGGTGGCTTCATAGGCGGAGGGCTGAAACCTCCTCTGGCTGTAGGTACATCCCAGGTACGCCAGCGGACACCTCTGTTCAAACCAGCCATTCACGCCCATCTGGATGTCACTGTGGATGTTCCTGCGTTTGTCACCACGTTCATTTCCAATATATATATATAAAAAAAGCAACAAATACACATTAGAGTGCATGCTGACGAAAGTCAAAAACAAATAATGGAAAAGCTGATTATTTTAGCATTGTGTGTTTCTCTTAGTGGATTTTTTAACGGTGTATAGAGGAGGAGGAAATGTCTAATGTCCAAATAACAATGAAAATGTCTCACTTAAAATGTTTGCCATATTCTGAGCGCTGGAAGGTGTGTCCACAGAGGAAGGTGAAGGCGGAGCTGGCCTTGTTATGCCGGCTGGTGACGCTCTCTACCTGCAGCTGAAGGTGCAGCTCAAGAGGTTTTCCAGCTGTCAGGTCAGCCAGAGACGTGTTCCTGCGGAAAGGAGCGGAGAGGAAGCGGTAGGTCTGCGTGCCTTGATCCGTCAGCAGGCTGTCAGAGGTTATGCTCTCAGCGATCAGGTTGCCCCTCCGCTCCCTCTCCAAGGAGCACAGCAAAGAGGCCTGGGAAAGAAATCAGACAAAACAACAACAGGAATAAAGTTGTCAGCAATACCATACTTGTCTCTCAGATCAATTTGAAAATATCCTTTCAAAAAATATTGTTTTACAGTTTATGATTGAAACAAAAGCAAAAACAGCAACTAGATGAAACTATTATTGGATTCTATTATTGAGTATCAGGTATATAATGTTTTATCAAAATTAAATATGAGGAAAAACACAGACTTGATGAATTTGCAATTAAATAAAATCTTAATCAAATTTAAGGGACAGCAAATAGTGGGCAGTTTTTCATATTATTCAGCGTTGTTCTTTCAAATAAATATATAATAGAATAATGATATATATATTAGATTTTTACAGAACCTCCAGTCGACATCTGTAAATTCATTGCATATTGAAATTTTAAAAATATAAATTTCATTATTTGGGGAATTGGGTGTTTAGCTTACATCTCTCAATTGCTATTTCCTTAAAAATAAATAAAATTTCTTAATTAAACCTTGATTATTTAGTCTTTTAAAATCTTTAGACTCCCGATTTATTTATTTTTGTTCCAGAATTTTCATGTTGTCTAATTATTTTATTATTTTTTTGTACCTTTTTTTACTGCTGTGGTTTCAATATATTAAAAGATTTAATAAAAACAAGATTTTAACTTAGATGGAACTTTTCTAAACTTAGATAGCACTTGACCAAACATAAACCTATTTTATTCCAAACATACATATACAAAAATATTGGTATCCTGAAATAAATCAGAAATGAATGATTCTTCATTTCAGATGAAATTGTCAGGACTCCAGTCTGTGTATTTGTTTTTTGTGTTGTTCTCCCTTCCACCAGCAGGAGGCGCCTGATTCTGGTCCACCTCCTCACACACCTGCTGACGGTTACCTCATTAGCGGAGTGCTCTAAGCTGCTAATTGCCACTACCTCGACGCCAGAGTGTTTGCCAGTTTTGGGTACTCTAGCCAAGCTGAGTTTCGCTGAGTAACACTGAGTTCTTGTCTACCTGAATTTTAACTTCGTTTTTGTCTTTGCCTCTCGGCAGGAAGACATCCTGCAAACTGGATCTTTTCGGACCTTCTCTCCCTGAAGGAATCAACTGAGCCTCAAACCGAGCTGGGGATTCAAACAGGAGGTTTGGATCTTCTTTCCTTCAGTGGACGTTGAGTTAAATCTCTGAGCAAGGGAATCATCTCCACTACGACACGTTCAAGTACAGCAGGAAATCTGAGTGGCAATCAGTTTGTCCGTTCACCAACAACCATCCGAGTTCTAGGTAAACCCTGTTCCGCCCTCCACCGAATCAGAATAACACTGGAAAACAGCACACAGATTGGAGTCAAAGATCCTACAACTTCTCTGGAAACGTGAGTCAACCACCAGAGCCTCTTCTCCATATCCACGAATGAAATTTCCCACTGAGCCTGAACTAATCTTCTTGTCTTCCCTTCACCTTCCAGTTCCGGTCGAGCTGAGTTCTGAGCAACTCTGCACCGAGCCTTACTCTTTAATAAACCTGTTAAAATTTTCATCTGTGTCTCTCTGAATTGGTTTCACTGCATGTGGTTCCAAGCTTTAGATAAAACCATGACAGAAATTGTTGGTGAAATCTCCAAAATCATTTTGTAATAAATGTTAGTAACACATTCTCCTAATCCAATCTTTAAAAAGTATTTATCAAGAATTTTTTTTGATAAAAAAAAAGTAATTAAAGTTTGTTTCCAAGAGTCAAAGCACGTACTGAGAGGCAAACAGCTCTTAAGGAGGCAAGACAATAATTTCCCTTTCATCTCCTCTTTCTTTCATATTTTCATTTCCTTTCCTGTTCTACCTACATTACAGTGTCCATAAAATCTACAATACTCCCTGCATGAATTATAATAAAGCTATTTATATGCATACATCAAGCAGAACACTATGGCGATAGCTGCACTGCTCCACTTGTGAAAGCAAAATCTGTTGGGCTCTTTTTGGCATCAAGGCAATTATTCTTATTGCCACAAAACAATCATCCAAACACACACACAGCACCCAGAGCGGTTTACACTAGTTAATGAACATTACAAGTATAAAACGTTAGTATCCAAGTAAAGCCCTCCAGCCAACTTGTATTCACCATACAGAAAAATATCAGGCTGGAATTAAAACTCTGGATAATTTTAGGAAAAAAAATCAGAGCAGCGCCACCATTCAACCCTAGTAAGATATTTGTTTTTATATGGTTAACTTAAAACTTAGTAAATTGGTTCCTTTGAATACTTTTAAGCTGAGAATGAAATGTTTTGAGTTGGACTCCCTCACATGTCAATGTTTAAATAGAAATTTTATTATAAGTGCATATTTGGCTTTTAAGTGTGTGTCTTTGTACGTATGTAATGCAAAATAGATTTTTAATCTCAATGGGTATTACCTGGTTAGATAAGGATTGTGCAGACTAAAAGATACTGTAAACATATGGTGCCAGAAGGGTTATCAAATTCAAAAGCCTGTTCCTATGAAGGGGACCCACCTGAACCTCCTCCCACACTGGCATGTCTCCTGGTGCCACCCCCAGGTCGCTGGTGTCCACACCTTTGTTCTCTCTCTTGTAGAAGCCAGGGTTGCGGATACGGCCCTGCCTGGCTGTGAAGCTAGTTGGGACTTTAAATGTACGAACAGTGATGATTTTCATTGGTTCTAACTTTCCGTACACAAAGTTCTTTTTTCTAGGTCTTCCATTGAGACAGGAGGAGGAAGCAGAGCATGCGCTGCTGCTGGATGCTGCTGCACCAGCACAGCTTTCTGTTTCATCCTCCTCATTCAGGGTACCCATGTTTTTCCCTGTTCCTCTTCCCCTCCCTCTGCCTGCTGCAGCTTCCCTGCAGCCTCCCATCTCCATGCTGAACATACGCTCCCAGGCATTGTAGTTCTCCAACAGACCAGCATCCACTTCTGATCCTCTGGCTATAGCCTCCCTCTCCTCCTGAGACAACATTGGCTCACTTTCCACCTCTACTTTATATTCATTGTCATCCTCAAGCTCTTTTTCATCAGGGAAGTTGACATTAATCATATTAACTGATTCCCAGATTTTATCTCTGGCTTCTTTTGCAGCTGCCCTCTCTGCTGCCTCCTTTTCCAAGAGGGCCTTCTTCTTCCTTTCCTTCTCCTTCCGTCTCTCCTCCTCCAGCCTTCGTTCTTCCCTCTCCTCCTCTTCCACGCTCTGGATGAGCTCTGGGAAGAGTTTTTTCATTTTCATTGAGTGAAACAGAGCATCCTGGTCTTTCAGAGCCATGGCCAGGTCCAGGCAGCCCTCCTGCTGTCGCTCCCTGAGCAAGTTTTCAAACAGCTCTGTGTTCGGTAGAGAACAAGCATCATTAGCAGGCCAGCGGTTCCACTCCATGGAGCAGCTCACCAAGCTGGCTGGACACACTTGGAGGTGAGAGCCTTGTGAGGAGCGAGGAAGCTGGACCGGGCAGCCGTACTCTGCATTGAGGCATGGCACCCTCACATTAGGGCAGAGCAGCAGGTGATCCTCTTCTTTGCACAGGTGGAAAACGGCTCCACAGAGGAGACGGCAGGAAGCGATAGCACAGCTCACACCGACTTCCACCCGAGCTCTGCAGCGCCGACTGTAGCAGGAGTCACAGTGGACATGCTGCCAGATCCTGGAGGCTCGAGAACGATGACTCTACAGGAAAACAAGAACACAGCTTGTTTGACGTTATTGTTCCTATGCAACTGTTGCAAACATAAACCTGCTGTCATGCTGCACCAAAAACTACAAACTTACAGTATTCTGCCAGAGAGTTTTCAAACTTTATAATCGAGCCCTGCATATTACATAAATAAAAGCTTTTACTTGTTTGATAAAATACTTTATTTTCCACATTTTGATCAAAACCTTACAATAGAAGCTGCATCCAAATGTAGCAGTCTGTAATGGGAGTTTTTATTAGTAGTTGGTTAGTGAAAGATGACATCATCATGATTTTGTGCTTCTTTCATCAAAATCATTAATAAAACTATTTTAGGGAATAATTTAAGACTCAAATTTGGGAAGATGTAATTTTTTAAACACTACATAGTAAAGTTCTAAGATACAGAGGAAATTAAAATCACACATCTAAAGTCAGAGATTACTCAACATACCATCGTTGAAATGGCCTCTCTGCAGGTTTCTGTCTATGAAGCTGCAGATCTGTGCAAACGACAAAGTTAGACTCAGTCTCCCAGAACAACCCTCTTACATTAAAATATAAATGCATGTTTTTCATCAGTATAGCAGGTTCTATAGCAGAGGACATTTTAAACAAAGCTTTTAGCCTACCTTTTGCATGAGCTGAGAAGACAGGCAGTGCAGCTTATGCTTTGAAAGAGCAAATATATGCGTGTTGTACTGTGTGTGTTATGTGTTGGTGTTATAAATAGAGCTTAGTCCTGACGGAGAAATGTTACACAGCTGGTCAGAAGCATGATTTGAGTTACGAGGCCTCTTGACTGCTTACATCAGGAAATATATTTATATTTGTTCAGTTTTACTGCTGCAAACTGGTCTCTACTGGAAAACCAGGCTGCTGATGAAAGAAAAACTTGCAATGTACATGTGATGTTTTATCCATTATATGCTACTGCCTGCGTGTTTATGACTTTTTGTCCAATTTGTCCTCACAGAGCCAGACAGGTTTTTTACTTGTAGAATCAGGGTGAAATAAAGATTTTACGGCGTCAGGGTAGAATTGGCTGCAGCGGTGTGAATCTGGAGGGGTTTTTCTAGGGTGGGGGGGGGGTATTTCTTCTCAGGAACCTGCTCAGTGCTCTACTTGGCTAATTTTAACCTCTCCGTTCAAAGAGCAGACTATAGGCCTGATAGCAAGGTTATAAAACCCAGAGACATAACAACACGTCTTGGGAGGCGACTTGGTAAGAAAAATCTGATCGCACTGTGATTTTTTCTGTTTGTTTCAACTTCAAAAACTGTGCAGCAGTGTACAGTCTAAGTGTACATAATGAAGGTTTAAACTGATTTAAGTGCTTGTTTGCTCCTCTGTACATTATGTAACATTCTTTCCTGCTGACTTTGAGTATCAACTTTTGCAATTCAAGCTAAACTGTGTGTGTTTGAAAAAATAATAAAGAATAAGGTAAAGATAAAGCCTACATTTTAAAAGTAAAAATACAAATGAAGCCTATTTTGCTCATTTAAGTTTTTTGTTAATATTTATTAATTGGTTTCAAAAGAAGCAGAGCCACTGATCTGTGAATATCCATAAACTAAACAAATCAGAGTAATGAGTTGTTACCTTCCTGGACTATAACTGTTGAACAGAACATTTCAGGGTAAAAAGGTTTTATTTTTTGGTGATTTTTTTATTTGATCTTGGTTTAACCGAGTAGCACAGGATGGTATTTTCTTTTTTTCTATTATCATGTATGAAGAGTGAAGGGGGCTGAAAACACATTGGGCCCTTAATGCAAGAACCGTTCAAATGCAGAAATTCATTCTTAAATCGTTTGTACAATGGATTTAGGGGAAAATGTCACCTTTATCATTTTCTCCTACCGGTATCTCTAATTCTCTCTTAGGTACAAATAAATTTTCCGAGTGCCCCAGCCCTGATTAATGA